GCATCAACAGAAACAAAAGTGATTTAACTCCTAAATGGCATTGAATTGAGCAGTGAGACCGCAGAGGCACCAAAAGTGCTTCATTAAGCTAAAGTTGTGTTGGTGCCTATAGTTTCCCTTTAAGTTCTTTTATTAGATAACTCCCTATATTAGAATTTTGTATTGTATTGCAATGGTCCTAGCAGCACTTTAATAATAAATTCATTTATGCAATACAGCAAATGCAATGCTTACAATGTTCTTTTAATATTTTATTTTCAGCAAATTATATTTTTAGTGCTCATTTTATTTCCACGTCCCATTATTTTGTTGCAGTCATATTAAATATTGGGACTTTTTCACAAACTATTCATTGTCATGGTTCTATTTTCCAATTGCAGCTGGTAGTACATGCTTCCCACTGCCTCTATCTACACTGTTATTGTCTGCAAAAACGGCCTATTTTGGAGATTTGCTTCCCCCAGACGTCGGTTCACCTTTCTGAAAGTAATTCAGGTTTTTGTCTGCTAAAGTAGAAATTGGAACATGAATTGGACAATTGTGTGCAACAAATACGAAGCAGGAATTCTAAAGAATTGCCAAAAAATAATCAGCACAATAGATCAAGCTCTAAAATACTGAATAGAACATAATCTGAGCTTTGACTTATGTCCAACACAAACATATAGAAATAGGGACTTTATAAAAAGAGAGACTCTTCGTTTCCCTTGTATTAGTAATTTTCACTGCCTTTTGAATAAAATGATTAACCTTGACGCCCAGATCCTTATAAAGTAGACATTCCAATGATTCTTAGATTCATGATGTTGGCTGAGAATTTATTAAAGGGTTACTTAAACCACCATAACCACTTCAGTGATTTCAGCTATCATGGTGGCAGGGGTATGTACGTGCAGTGTCTCTGCTTGAAATTGGTAAGTTATTGGCACTTGTGTGCTTGGGGCTAGTCGCACCCCCACAGTGCAAGTCCCCAGTGATGTCGGTGGGGGAGTGGAAGTCAGCACCAGGAGTGGTACACTTCTTTTTTGCAGCTTTTAATACAAACCCAGGGGTAGAGGGGGGGGGGGCCTTCCATAGTGCCCAATACGGCGTATTACACAGGAACGATCCTCCGCCTCAAAAGGGTTGGAGTAACCCTTTCAAAATTTATTTTACAGGGCAAGGCAAGGCACGTAATGCAGACAGACGTGTGTACCTGAAGCTCTCTTGAGTCATGAAGTTCCAAGCGTGCTCCCCAGCTACAACTGCCTGGATAATTGAGTGCCCAGCACTTACCCGGAATAGAAAATCTCATATAAAGAAGGTTAAAAAATAGAAAAAATGGAAAAAAGTGGGATGGGGAATTGAGGAGGGAGAGGAGCTGACGCACAGATTTCTCAGTGAAATGCTGCACATACAGACTCCAAGCAAACTGAATAATTCAAATAACTGAAGTGGTCACAGTGTTTGTAGTCACCCTTTAAACCAGACTAGCAAAGATATAAGCCTGAGGTATGATGGTGTGGCAAAACTAGCCACTTAAGACTATCCATATATTGAATGTGTTTATATCCCTGTTTCAGCTACGAAAACCAAGTGTATTACTGTATGTGTCTTTCAGACGAATGTGTCACGATTCCGGAACCTAACACGCTAACAGGTCACAGAGAGGAAGGGTGCTATACCGGTCCTTAGAGTGGCCGGGCTAAGCACACTAAGAATGGTCAGGAGACAAGCCAAGTAAAGGGAGCCAGAAAACGGGAGAACGAGAAACAAGCCGAGGTCAAAGGAGTGGAGAAGACAGGATAATCGGAATAACGAGCCAAATAATCGGAAACCAGAGAGCAACACGAGAGAACAGCACTACAGGTATCACAAGACCACAACAGGGCACTGAGGGACAGGAAAGGTAAGTATAAATACCCTTGGTTTAATTCTGATTGGATAACTTCCAATCAGAATTAACAATCACACGTGGGGGATATCTATGCCTCCCACTGTGATTATGGTACTGTTTCTTTAACGCCGGGTCACTCACGTGACCCCGGCGTTTGCATAAATCAGCAACCTCCCAGCGTGCAGCGTTATACATGCTGCCGTTGGGAGGCGTGAAGGACGCAAGCGGCGAGCGGCAGAGAGGAGACGCCGCTCGCCGACAGGTAAGAAGAGGGGAGACCGCGGGCGGCGATGGACTGAGGGTGAGTGCTGCAAGTGGCGTGCAGCCTCCCCTCCTAGCCGCCCATGGACCCCTGACAGAATGAGGGCGTTCGTATGCTTGCAGTATGAAAAACCCAGCATTCCTAATGTAGTTTCACGAACAGTGAGTTTCAACACTGTTCGTGAAACGAATAAACTACCGAATGGTCGACGACACACAAGAGGTCGTGTGGCGCCCATTAACCGATTGCAACATTGTTGCAATCGGTAGTTAAAGGCTTCCCTAGGTGGCCGTCATTCGGCTACCGACCACTCGGAGGTCGGCCATCTTGGATCCTTTGTTAGCCCAGTGGTGTTTTGCCGTTGAGCGCCTGGAACTAAAATGGGCTACTCGACGGCACAAACACCGCTGGACTTCCAGGCCGTTCGGGAGCCCCAGGCGTTCGGTAGTTTGTTCCCCTAATATCAATCGCTATTTTAACAGTGTGTTGGAAATAATGTGTATTTCGTGCGGCGTTCGGTTAGTTAGACTGGGAGCTGAGCGGTATTCTCACGAACGGTGAGCTCAACCTCCAGCTACCTACCAAACGTCCATTCGTTTAAATACAGTGAATATCAAGAAAGTTATGCATTTTAATGTAAAATGTAAATTCTGCTGCACGGAGGGATAATCCACTTAACGGTATATTCCAGTGGGAGTATCCCTCTCGTACAGCAGTGCATGATGGGAGAAATGTATGTGTTGGTCAGTTCCCCATGTAGTCCCCTACTGTACCACCCCTGAAATGTCAGTAGGGAAACCCCTTACATGGGGAATCCCATAAAGTGACCTGTGATTCAAAGCTCAGTTGACTCCCAGCCTATGTGTCGTCTAGTTCTTGGGAAGGAAGGATTCTTATAACGCTACCGGGATTATTGTATGCTGTATTTATTTCCTTGGATTATTTTATGCTGTTCCTGCTACCCAGCGGAGATACTGTGGATTATACTACCTCTCCGCTACAGATGGAATAAAAATGAGAAAACTTGCCCTGGAAGTTTCTCCTTTCAGTGTCACAGTTTATGCCATGGGTCGTCAACCTGTTCCCTACCGCCCACTAGTGGGCATTTCAGGATTCCAGGTGGGTGGTAGGGATTTCCTCGTTTTGAGAGACTGTGCGGGCAGGTGGATGCAAGCCGGCGGTACCCCTGCGACCGGGTGTCACCATTTGCGGCCCCGGCCTGCGCGGTAAACCGCCGGGGCCGCCGTCCAAGGGGTCCATCGGGTGGCCCATGCTGTCAGGGCCACCTGATGGATGTTGATTGAAAGGGGGTCCGGTCAGCGCTGGGCGCTTTAACAGCGCGACCGGGCCCCCTGTGATTATATCACAGAGCTGGGAGGAAGTGACTGCACGTCACTCCTCCCAGGTAACACACAGACTGCGTGGGAGGAAGCAGAGGGAGTCAGAGTGGGAACTCTGACTCCCATGCACCTAAAAGTTAGGAAACAAGAGGGTGACTAAAATATTTTGTGTGTGTTTGTGTGTATGTGTCTTTGTATGTATGTCTTGTGTGTGTATGTCTTTGTATGTCTTGTGTGTGTCTGTCTGTATGTGTGTGTATGTGTCTTTGTATGTATGTCTTGTGTATGTGTGTGTCTGTCTGTATATATGTGTGTATGTATGTGTGTCTTGTCTTTGTATGTATGTGTTGTGTGTGTATGTCATTGTATGTATGTGTGTCTTATGTATGTGTCTTTGTATGTGTGTATGTGTCTATGTATGTCTTATGTGTGTGTCTTTGTATGTGTGTGTCTGTATGTGTGTGTGTGCATGTCTGTGTGTGTCTGTATGTATGTGTGCCTGTCTGTTTGTATGTATGTGTCTTGTGTGTGTGTCTGTTTGTGTGCATATGTGTGTGTCTGTATGTGTGCCTGTCTGTTTGTATGTATGTGTCTTGTGTGTCGTGTGTGTGTGTCTGTATGTGTGCCTGTCTGTGTGTCTGTATGTATGTATGTATGTATGTGTGCCTGTCTGTGTGTCTGTATGTGTCTTTGTATGTGTGTCTTGTGTGTGTGCGTCATGTGTGTGTCTGTATGTGTGTCTTGTGTGTGTGTGTCTGTCTGTATGTATGTGTGTCTGTCTTTTTGTATGTATGTATCTTTGTATGTGTGTCTTGTGTGTGTGTGTGTCTGTATGTGTGTATGTGTGTCTTGTGTGTGTGTCTGTATGTATGTAATTATGTATGTGTGCCTGTCTGTTATAGTGGGCTATAGTAAGTGGGCTACCTACTGCCTTCCTACTGGGCATTGCTATAAGTAAGGTTAAAAAATAGAAAACAGGGGGAAAAAAAGGTGGGGAGGGGAATTAAGGAGGGAGGGGAGGGGAGGGGAGCTGACGTACAGATGAGAAATCATATTATGCGCAAACAGAGAAGTGGTCTGAATATCATCGAAAGAGGAGACCTTTGTTTGTTCCTTACAAAAATCGAACCAGATATCAAATATTTAGTCTTGCAGCATCAACCTCAAGGATCTCATTAATCACTAGTAAAGGTAATTTCAATTTACTTTATTGTTTTCTCATTAAACTTTATAAAGTTAAAAACATTATAAACATGCATTAAGTAGAAATAAAAAGATAAATGTACGTACATTTTTTTTAAATTTTTTTTTAAACACCCTCCTTTCTAAAAAATATTCTGCACTTGCGTGAAAACTTGTGGGCGGTAAGGAAATGTTTCCATCAAGAAAGATGCATTAGTGGGCGGTAGGTAGAAAAAGGTTGACTACCACTGGTTTATGCTAAATGCATGAAAAATGGCAATATCAACAGGATTCTTTCTCTCTGATGGCTGATACCAATGAAGGAAGTTAGAAACAAGCATTAAAGGAACACTATAGTCACCTAAATTACTTTAGCTAAATAAAGCAGTTTTAGTGTATAGATCATTCCCCCGCAATTCCACTGCTCAAGTCACTGTCATTTAGGAGTTAAATCACTTTGTTTCTGTTTATGCAGCCCTAGCCACACCTCCCCTGGCTATGATTGACAGAGCCTGCATGAAAAAAAAACTGGTTTCACTTTCAAACAGATGTAATTTACCTTAACCCCTTAAGGACATATGACATGTGTGACATGTCATGATTCCCTTTTATTTCAGAAGTTTGGTCCTTAAGGGGTTAAATAATTGTATCTCAATCTCTAAATTGAACTTTAATCACATACAGGAGGCTCTTGCAGGGTCTAGCAAGCTATTAACATAGCAGGGGATAAGAAAATCTTAATTAAACAGAACTTGCAATAAAGAAAGCCTAAATAGGGCTCTCTTTACAGGAAGTGTTTATGGAAGGCTGTGCAAGTCACATGCAGGGAGGTGTGACTAGGGTTCATAAACAAAGGGATTTAACTCCTAAATGGCAGAGGATTGAGCAGTGAGGCTGCAGGGGCATGTTCTATACACCAAAACTGCTTCATTAAGCTAAAGTTGTTCAGGTGACTATAGTGTCCCTTTAACTTCACATTTACTGTATGGTGGTTTTGCTTTGGGTCTTCCACCCCATCAAATTATAACTTTGAAAAAAATCTATTTAAATGAAGGTATGACATGTAGCTGATTTATAATAAATACTAAAAATTTAAAAGAGCGGATATCTGAAATGACAACCTTTGCCCTAACCTGTAACCAAGGAAAACCCAACATACACACAATGAAAACCCAACGTGTTGTGTTTTGAACATGCAGTGGCAGAATGGCCAAGCCACTTATGGCAAGGAGGAATATGACTTTCTGGGCTACATCTATTAGGTTGCATCATCAGGACCTCCTAGATTGTCCTATCAGCCTTTGCGATGTGTGCACTGGAGTGAATGGTTAGAAAATGGTTGCTCCATGCTGAACGACCTCATAGCTATCTTGTAAGTGTCAATGGCAAGCAGTATGATTTTCTGGCACTGACACACATCGATGCAGATCTTGGTTAGAATGTCAAACTGCCAGTTGTAATATAACTTGAAATATTCATTTTTGTTTCTCATAAAAAATAAATAAAAAAAATCAGAAATGTAAAAAATATTTCCCCCCAACTTTGTTTTCACTTTTTTGGGGAGAGTGCTTTATACTTCCACAGACACCTGAGATGTAAATACAGCCATGTGGACAGTCCCCTTTTCAGAATCCTCTCTCACTGTCCTGAGTTTGTTTCCTGGTGTCCCACATGAGGTTACACCCGAGAACAGACGCCAGCCAACACAATGCCAGAGCAACATTAGACGTGCCCACGCTGTGATGGGTGCTCTAAAACTATGCAGAGAGCACTTAAGCAGTGGGCTGCAGTGTTCTGGATCAGCACGGAAGGCTATTGCTGGTGACATGAATTATGCCATTGGCAAACGTCCCCTGCAGAGCCTGCCCGCCCAGTGCTGATTAAGTTAGGAGGTATTGAATATATGGCAAGGCATTGTACGCACTAATTGAGTCCAGAAATTTCCTGAACAGATGCACATATTAAACGATAAAAATAAATATATAACTCTTGTCCTATGATCCCTGATGTGTTTGTTTTGACTTTTACCCTATCTTGAAAAAAAAAAAAAGATTACATTCTAAATAAAGTTACTGCACATCTTGATAATGACTTCTTATTACATGGGCTAAAAATAAATCGGTGTAGTTATGAGAACTCATCAGCATCTGGTCATACAATAAGGAAACATAATCCCAAAAGAAAAGTAATGTTGAATTGCATGTCTGTGCAGCTGGGTGGCCTACAGCCAAATATTAACAATTAGCAGTAACAGCCCTAGATGTTTCTGACCTACTGTACTTCCTGTTGTACACAAGGCTTTAACCCCTTAAGGACCAAACTTCTGGAATAAAAGGGAATCATGACATGTCACACATGTCATGTGTCCTTAAGGGGTTAAACCATGTGAATGTGTTGTTAAACTGCAACTTTGTCATGCTCAGTTTATTTGCTGCTGTAGTCCAATATCGGCTAATTGATGCATTGCTGCCTTGTTGTCTTTCTACACCAATGTGCAGCTCAAGTATACTTTACATCAGAAAGATGATATTAGAATTGCAGTTTGTCGAAACATAACACAATAGGCATGCAAAGTACGTTTCATTACATTTCCCAATATTATTCTTTCATTTTATATAAGGTGAATATTTATTAAAAAGCTGCATGTGCGTGGTGTGACAGTTTGTGGAGTAACTGTGAGTGTTGTATAGGTGTGGATTGGCTGTAAGTGTTGTAACTGTGTGTGATGTTTGTGCTGTGGCTGTGTGTGTGTGTGTGTGTGGGGGGGGCTGGCAGTGCATGAAGTGTGCTTTTGTTGGGTATCAAGTGTGGGTAGCTGTGAGTGATTTGTAAGTGATGTGTCTGTTTTTTTGAGTAGCTGTGAATGATGAAGCAATGAGGAATGTAGTGGCATTCCTTTAAAGGTTGTAAATGACCACAGTTATTGAGGGGTTGTGACTGTAGTCAGGGCCAGCCTTATGCTATTAGTCGCCCTGTGCAAAAAAGCTTCAAAGCGCACTCCCTCCCCCCCAAGGTCATACACCTTAATCCATGTATGTGTGTGTGTATAGGAGTGTAGTGTTTGTTTAGGGGATTTATTAAATTAATAATGATTTAAAAACAAATATTCATTCCCCCTTCCCTGTTACCTTGCAGTGAGATGGGAATGCTGATATCTCTGGTGATCCAGTGTGCTGGGAATCTGGTCTGCCCCTTTACCAGGTGCAGACTATGAGTAACTGTCTCGCGAGCTCAGGCATTTACAGTGTTAGAACTTTCCTCTGGTAAGCTATGGCAATGCATTGATTGGTCCGAGCGCGAAAGACAGCTACTCAGAAATACAAGCCAGAGGTGCCAAGTTGCCTCCTCCGCATTATAGGCAGACAGTCACACACATACTCAGTTACAAGCAGACAGTCACACACACACACACACACACAAACACACTCAGTTACAGGTAGACAGTCTCACACACACACACACTCAGTTGCAGGCATACAATTACACACACAGGTACAGGCAGACAGTCACATACTCTGTTACAAGCAGACAGTCACACACGCTCAGTTACAGGAGACAGTCATACACACCGACACAGGCAGACAGTCACACACGCTCAGTTACTGTCAGACAGTCACACACACACACACACACAGTCAGTTACTGGCAGAGAGTCACACACACAGAGACTCAGTTACAGGCATACCGTCACACACAGGCAGACAGTCACACACAGGCAGACAGTCACACACTGGAAGGGGGGAGTGGAGGAAGTGCAGTTTCTGGAGATTAGTTGTTAGGGAAACAAGGACCCCTTCCTGCTTCCCCCTTACTGTGCAGCAGTTACTATCCATCAAATAATGAGCACTTTTAGCGTTGCCCCTGCTGCAATTGTAGCCCCGCCTCCGCATCTCGTCAAGCTTTGCCCAGACATTGGTTAAGCCCCACCCCGGCTGCTGTTTTTATCATAGTCCTACATGGAGAATAATGAAATCCTCTACCCGGATACCTGCTTTAGCTCCCCCTGCACAGCAGTCATCCGGCCATGTGTGAGCTGTCGGCCGCATGGTGCCCCCTTCTGCTTGAACACCCCTAAGGCCAGCCCTGACTGTAGTAAGGTATTAAACGTAACAATACAATGACCCAGTGGCTCCTTCTGGTGGGTTTTTGTTGAAAGATATTAAAAGTAAGAAATGGCCACAAATTGCTGGCATTCAGCGGAAGATGTCAAAGGTAGGAAATCGGTACAAACTGCCAGTAAATCACCATGGAAGAAATGTAGTTTCAAGCTGGAAAGAGCCTCAAAGGTTCCTATAAGGGTCCTTATGTTGGGCTGTCTGTAGTAAGATGTTAGTTGATAAGTTGAATTAATTGTTTATGTGAAGGTTTGCAAACTTTGATAGAATATAAAATGTTTGAATTTATTACCTGGATTTCATAAGCTGGACAGTAATTTTATAAGCAATGCAGAATGGTGAGTTCTGCATTTTAATTGAATTAATTTGACAGTGCATTTGTGACTGACCCAGAGCCGTCGTTAATATAGATTTGACCCTGGGAAAGCAATTGCTTTGGCCCCCCTGGGCCTCTATAAATGTAACATTTTAACCCCACCATTTTTCTATTTTCTTACCGTTAAGGACCAGGGCTCTTTTTACATTTCTGCGGTGTTTATGTTTAGCTGTAATATTCCTCTTACTCATTTACTGTACCAACACATATTATATACCGTTATTCTCGCCATTAAATGTTCTTTCTAAAGATACCATTATTTTCATCATATCATATAATTTACCATAAAAAATATAAAATATGATGAAGACATGTAAAATACCACACTTTTTCTAACTTTGACCCCCAAAATCTGTTACGCATTTACAACCGCCAAAAACACCTGTGCTAAATGGTTTTAAAATTTTGTCCTGAGTTTAGAAAGTTATAGGGCTATAAGTACAAGTAGCACTTTGCTATTTCCAAACCATTTTTTTCAAAATTAAAGCACGTTACATTGTAACACTGATATCTGTCAAGAATTCCTGAATAACCCTACACATGTATATATTTTTTAAAAGAAGATAACCTAGGTATTAAACTTGGGGTATTTTGACTCTTTTCATGCAACCATTTAACACCAATCTATGCCAAATAAAAAAAAATATATTTTTTGACACACATAGCAATTTAAAAATACATGTACGGGTTACTGCCAAAGAACCCCGCAGTATGTGTTCAGCAACATCTCCTGAGTACAGTGATACCCCCCATGTATAGGTGCAGGGGCGCCATCAGGGGGTGACAACCATGATGTTTGGGCCTATCGGGTGGCCCATGCACTTAGGGCAATAGCGCGACCGGGCCCCTTTAAAAAAATCGCAGCCACAAAGTACTGCTGGGAGGAAGTGGCCATCACTTCCTCCCAGCTCCCTCTGCGCCGCGCGGGAGGGAAGAAAGCCAGACCGCAGGAACCACACCAACTCCCATCAGCCACAGCCTTCCACCTGCAAAAAAAAGGTAAGCAAAATTAGCTGTATTTGTGTATGTTAGTATGTATGTATGTATGTGTGTATGTCAGTATGTATCTATGTATGTATGTCAGTATGTGTGTATGCATGTCAGTATGTATGTGTGTATGTCAGTATGTATCTATGTATGTATGTCAGTATGTATCTATGTATGTGTGTGTGTCAGTATGTCAGTGTGTATGTGTGTGTATGTATGTGTGTATGTCAGTATGTATATATGTATCTATGTATGTGTGTCAGTATGTATGTTAGTAT